AAGAAAAATTAAAGCAGTCGAATAGGATAGAAATACATATAATTTGACTCAGTTTTTTATCCTGATTCTGACTATGCTGTTTTTATCCCATAGAAACTGAGTTATGCTAGAGAAAATCGAGAATTACGGGTAGAATTCTGACTTTTTCGCCTCTGATTTACGAAAAATAGAATATCTCAGTAAGGAAACATTATTTTCAAAAACTCTCTCGTATTTTTAAAGCTTGGAAGTTAGGCCACCTTTCCATATATAATTCAAAAGGCTAGCCTTTCTCAGAAAAAACTAGTAGGGATTTTGAGGACAAGGTCTCAGTTTGCGACCTTTCCCTGTTTCGAGCCTCGCTAAAATTCAAATAACGGGTGAGGGATCGGAAATTAGTTTTCAATGTGGAACTCAAATCTGAACACCGCGAGGGTGTAGCACAAACCAAAAGAAAGTTATAGAGGTTTTTCTGTCAGTAAAAAAATCAGAATTTATAAGATATTACCGCGGCAATACGGCAAACACTTACTATCACTTAACAGCCTTATTATGACAGTAATGCTTCAGAAAAAACCCTAAATCTCTCATCTCAGCAAGAAAATTTAGAATTGCTTACATTCTGTTTTTCGTCTATACGAAGTAAAGATTTCTATTATAAGTGTCTCACCACTTGTGATCATTGCTATATATAACTTTTTGTTTTAAATATAAAACTAACACTTTATTGTTTTACTAAAATATAGCACTGGCTCCTCTATCTGCACAGCATGAGTTTCGTGTGTTCGCACTTAACGGTTACCGAAATAGAACTATTTGGTCGCTGTTGAAGTTCAGAATTTATAACTCAGCCCAGAAACATTATTTTGACTTCAAACTTGTGTAAACAAAGCTGGACACCCACCTATTCTAAGTTATATTATTTAATGTTTAATTCACGAATAGAAATTTTTCGCATTTCGGCTTTATGGACCTTTCCCATATTTGTCAATGGAAAATCTTTCACAAATTTCCAATATTTTGGAATTTTATGCGATGAAATATTATTTTTGCAATAATCCATAAGTTCTTTCTCAGTTATGCCTTGTGCATCCGGTTTTAACTGAACCCATGCCATTATTTCTTCACCATACATTCTGCTTGGAACTCCAATAACTTGAATGTCACGTATAGCTGGATATTTGGATAAATATTGTTCTATTTCTTTGGGATAAATATTTTCACCACCTCTGATAATCATATCTTTGGCACGTCCAACAATCCGAATATAGTCTTGATCATCCATAATAGCTAAATCGCCAGTATGCATCCAACGTGTTTGATCAATCACCTTTTCTGTTTCTTCTTTATTATTATAATAACCAATCATTACATGATAACCTCTAGTGCATAACTCACCTGTTTCACCTCTAGGAACAATTTTACCTGTACTAAGATCAATAATTTTTATTTCTATATGATCTAGTGCTTTCCCAACAGTTATCTTTCTTTCTAAATCATCGTTGGTAAACGTGTGACTTATACCTGGTGATGCTTCGGTCATACCATAGCCTATTGTTATTTGTTTTATATTCATTTTGTTTTGTATTTGCTTGACTGTTTCAATGTCAAATGTGGAACCACCTATGATACCTGTTCTTAATGAGCTCAAGTCGTACTTATTAAAGTTCGGATGTTCCATTTCCGCAATAAACATTGATGGTACACCATATAATGAAGTACATTTTTCTTGCTCAACTGTTTCCAGAACTTTTTCCGCATCGAATATTTCATTTGGAATAACAATGCAAGAGCCCGTTAATGTACAAGCTAAGTTACCATGAACCATACCAAAACAATGAAAAAATGGGACTGGAATACAAACACGATCATTCTCCGTATAACCTAGTCTTTTTGCCGCAAAATACGCGCTGTTTAAAATATTGTGGTGCGATAATAAAACTGCTTTCGGCGGACCTGTTGTACCTGACGTGTACTGGATATTAACTGGATCATCAAACTGTACACCATCTTCTGCTGTAAGAAGTTGTTCATCTGAAATATTTTCTCCGGATTTTATTAACATATTCCAATCATCTTCTAATATAAGAATTTTTTTTAAATGAGAACACCGAATATGAATTTCATTCAAAATTTGTTTATAATTAATATCTCTGATTTTATTTATTGCAATTATCATTTTTACACTTGATAAATTTAGAAGATATTCAAGTTCATTACCTAAAAGACGTGGATTAATACAGACCAAAATTGCACCAATACGTGCTATTGCATATTGTAAAATAACCCATTGAAAACAATTTGGTGATATAATACCAATTCTATCACCTTTTTCTATTTCATTACAAATCAGACTTTTAGCCACCAATGTTATTTGTTGCCAAAATTGTTTGTATTTCATTTGATAATTTTGCGAAACAGAAATCAATGCATCATGCTGAGGAAATTTCTCAGCAGTTTTACGCAACTTTTCACCAATAGTTTCACCTAATAAAGGAACTACGCTTGCACCATGTGTATACGATAATATCGGCTGATACACCGTACCTACAGAAGAGATGTTTTATTAAAGGTTAAGTCCACATAACACGGGAAATCGGCCCACTAACTTTAGTCCCTCCAATCAGTACGAAACTCATCAGAATCACATCCGATCATCATATTTGATGATTCCGATCCTTTCGAGTGCTTTCAGTCGAATATAACCGACTCGAAAACAAGCAACGATTTAGCACCAACAGTATAACTGTAAAATCAAAATTTCTCTATAACCATCTAACATTAAGCCTAGTGCAATATATCATTCGATGCGCCGTGAAAAGCTCTACAAGAT